GCTCCCCAATGTCGCCCCCGCCCCAACGTCCCATCGCTTGAACGTGCAGCTTAATTCAACACACGCGTGCACCCTGTGCCCTCACCCTCCACACTCAGCTCCCCTTCAAAGCAAATCACCCCTTCATCAACCTTGGCCCCCCCCTCCCGCCCGCCCGCCTCCCCCAGGGGTGGCACTGAATTCATCACCGTATTCAGCACAGACCCCTCCGCCGCGGGCGGTGGCGCGGGCGGCGGGGCCGGCGGCGGCGGCGGGGGGCGGTCGATCGTTGAGGCGCTGCCTGACAGGCCAGACCCTGCCATGCTGGGGGGCATGCGGCCCGTGGCCCAGGGGGCGCTGCAGGTGCACGGAGTCAGGTGAGGCTGCGGATTTGTTGTGTCAGAGTGTGTGTGTGTGTACATGTGTGGGTGCGTTGTGTGTGTGTGAGAGAGAGCGCGTGTGTGTGTATCTCTGTGTGTGTGTGTGTGTGTGTATGTGAGAGAGAGTGTGTCTGTGTGTGTGTGTGTGTGTGTGTGTGCGTGTGAGCACGTGTCTGTGTCTGTGTGTGGGTGTGTCGGAAAGGGTGCGCGCTTTCTCTTTTGGCCTTGAGGAGCCACGGGCGTGGCATCTGTTGCGAGCCAGGGTCGTCCAAGGTTATGAAGGGGTTTTCAGGTGGTCGCTGGCAAAACGTGTGTCAGAACAGTGTGCTTTGGTGTTTGCGTGTGGGCGCTTGTGCAGAGGCGATACCGAGCGCGGCGCGGGGTTTGGGACGTGCCGGCTTTGCTGCACAGTAGCCAGCCCCGACGGCCCTGACTGACCGACTGCGCAAGGGTGGAGGGCCGTCCTCATGCAGGAGAGCTGACCACCTGAGAGGCAGGGTTGGGAGCTTTCTGCACAGCACCCCTGTGAGCAGCGCCGCAACCACCGAGCCCGTTCCCTCCCTCTTCGCAGGCCCGAGGAGGCGCGGCGCCGCGACTGGGAAAAGCGCGTGGCCGAGCGGCGCCGCAGCAAGAGCCGCAGCCGCAGCCGCAGCCGCGGGCGGCGGCGCTACTCGAGCCGCAGTCCGAGCCGCAGCCGGAGCCGGGAGCGCGGCGGGGGCAGGGACAGGGACTGGGAGCGCCGCAGGAGCCGCAGCCGCTCGCCCCGGGGCGCCCGCAGGTGTGTGTGGCCTGGCCCAGCATGGGCCGGCTGTGTGGCATGGGGTTTGGAACGCTTGGTTTTCTGTTGCGCTCTTCGGCTTGCATGCCTGAACACACCCTATGTCCCCTGCCTGCGCGTGCCATGCGGCAGCACTGGGTCGCAGCAGTCCGTTGCGCAGTCCACTGCGCAGTCCGGACAATGGGCTGGGACAGCGCCGCCACGTGGCCCCTAGCACTTCCCCGCAACCACACTCCCTCCGCTTGTGCACCCGCCCCACAGGGGCCGCTCCCGCAGCAGGAGCCGCAGCCGGGGCCGCGACCGCGACCACGGGCGGCGCAGCAGCAGCCGCGACAGGGACCGCGGCCGCGACGGACGGGGCTCGTCCGGCGGCGGCGGCGGCGGCGGCGGCGGCGGCGGCGGCGGCGGCGCGCCGGCTTCCAAGGCCACGCCGACATCGAGTAAGGTGCGCTGTGCTGCACCGAAGGACCCCCTGCCGGCCTGCGGGTCCGGGCGCTCCCGCGGCTGGCCCAACCTCGGCTCTGCCCGCCCGAGTCCTCCGGCCCCTGCTGAAACCTGCTGCCGCTGGCCCCTTCCCCCCACTTTCCAAAAGGCGGCGGCGGCGACGCCAGCGGCCAAGGAGACCCCTCAGGAGCGGCTCAAGCGCATCATGGCTGCGCAGATAAACAAAGCCTTCCAGCGGGACTCCCTGGCGGCGGCGCAGAAGAAGATGCAGGTCCGGAATACAGGGGGCAGCAGGGGCTGCTGGACGGGGAGCACGCGGCGGTGGCCGCGCGCGTGCGCGGGGCACAGCTGAACGTGGGACAGGGGAGAGGCAGGGGCTGACGGAGCGAGCGGCGAATCTGTTGGTCACTTTTCGAAGTCGCTGCGCGGGCTGGACGAAACCACAGCATATGAGAAGTCTGTGTTTTGCTGCTACATGGGCGCATTTGCAAGCTTTCATGTGATTGTTGGGAAGGATTTGCACTGGCTTGTTGGAGCGGTTGCGCTTTGTGGGGGAAGTGGCCGGCGCAGGCAGGGGCCAGTGACAGCCCAGCACGGGTGCCACGCCCAGGCAGCTGCGCGCTTCTGCGGCAGCACCGCGCTGGCCTGCTGCTCGGGCTCCGCCCACCATCTTTTGACGCGCAAACCGCGCACGGTTCGGCCCCCGCTCCCTTCGTGGCCGCCGCGTCGGCGCCCCGCTGCGCCCGCGCGACAGGCTGAAAAGGAAAAGGCGGCGCGGGAGCAAATGGCTCGCAGCGCGCACTCGCGCCGCTCGCCCTCGCCGGGCCGCAGGTGAAGTGTGGGGGTTGGGCGCAGCCAGAGGGCGCCGCCCGGCGCCGGCCGGGCCCCGGCTCGTGGCAGCGAGGCCGCGTCTGTTGAGTCGGGATTCCATTCGCTCCCCTCAAAAGGGAGGGGCGGCGCGAGAAGGGCGCGGCGCCTGCTGTCCTGGGGTCGGCTGGGGCCTCAGGCTCCTGGGTTTCCTTGCTACTGCCCCCTTCCCTGGTCTTTGCTGTGTACAATCCTGGCGGCCTCTCTGGTTGGACCTGTCATTGCAGGCGGCCGCTTGCGTGTGCATCCAGGCTTGGGCCGTTGCTCACGCTGCTGCCCCGCCCCCCCGCAGGTCTCGGTCCCGCTCGCCGCCCCGCCTTGGTCCTAGGCGCTAACAGTTGCGGCTGGGTATTTTGCAGTGAAACGTGCTGAGGGTGGTAGGTGTGCTGGGCTGTGTGTGCGCCAGCGTTATGCCTACGTGTGCACGCGTCCCTGTGTATGTGATGTGTGGGTGTGGGTGTGCGGGCACGAGCGTGTGGATGTGTGTGCACCAGAGCGAGAGAAAATGTGCGTGCGTGCCCCGTTGTAAAGAGTGGCAAGCTCGAGAGGTGCGGCCAGCAAACTATGCTTGACGTGTGGCCAATATTGCCTGTAGCAGCCGAACAAGGCGACACTGCATGGCAGACTGCTAGCGGGCTCGGGTTCTGGCGGCGGCCCGCGTGGGGCGCACGCTGGCCCCGGCAGCATTCTGGTTCCAGCCGTCACTGCAGTGACGGTGCAGCGACGCGAAAAGGGGTGCAGGCGGTTGGTCGTGGCTTAAAGCCGCGCTATAAGTGGTGATTCCAGTGCAATGATGGACCGAGACAGACTGGCATATTCTACTGACGGGTCTGCCTCCGAGCGATCAGCAGCCCTCAAGCCCCTGGTGCGCGTCATGTCATCAGTCATGTTGGCCCCAAAGTAGAGAGTGCCTTTGACTGGCCCCCTCATCACCCTGCAAGGGTCCCCCACTCTGCAGGCTGTGCCGTCTCGAGCCGCTCCCTGTGTGTGTCTGCACGTAATCCATCTTATGAAGGTCCCGAGTGGGCTGCAGCGGAATGCTCGTGCATGCTGTCCCCTGGCCACCGCTCTTGTCGGCGTGACACCTTGCGAGGTGGCAGCGCGGCGGCCCTTTTGAAAGAGGTGCCGAAGGACCCACATGTCGGTTGATGGTGGGTTAGCAGAAACCATCAATCCTCATTACAAATGACTAAGTCATGATAGGCTTGCGGTGAAGGGCGGCGGCTGAGGGTATCCCACATGATGCCATTCCGCTGCCATACAGTGGGCAGAGAATGCCGGTGTGGGCGATCCCCGTCAATACCGTATGTCGCGCAAACAGACCCAGCTTACACAGCTGTTAGTCACTCTTTTGATTCGGTTCGTTTTTTCACCATGCAGCACTCTTTGCTGCTGGTTGCGCTAATAGCTTTTGTCTTGGCTGCGGAGGGAGTCGTCGGCGTGGACCCCCTCCGGGACCTGGAAACTTGGTGCATCAAGACTAATGAAAATAATTGCGATGCCTACATCCGCTCTCAGCCAGCGCAGAGGGCATCGTTGGCGTCGATCTGGTCGCAGACCGCACCGGAGACGTGTGAGTTGCGCGGACGCCAATAAGGATGACCCATGCACTCTCCTGCCCACCGTGCACCGACTGCGTAGGAGGTCCTCACCCCTTGTCACCCGCGGTGGTTTTGTAACCTGGATTTCCTCCGCCCCATTTCCCACCAGACCTATGTTCCGGGCTCGAGGAGCGCTGCATAACACTCGATGAACGCCAATCTTATGTTGGAAGATCGGCTTGCGCCCCGCTACGAGCTGGGGAACCTTGCGGCAGCGGTCTGGGTATCTGCAGCACGAGCGGCCGCTGCATCGTCAGCGCCAACACGGCGGCCCAGCACGGCCCACCCTCCGCCAGCGCTCAGCAGGCGCCCACCGCCCCTGGACCGGAATCTCCCGCCGCAGTGCGCCGCCGCCGCGCGCTGCTGGCCGGCGCCCAGGTCGACGGCTTCGCGTCCGCCGCCGCCCCCGCCTCCAGCCAGGCGCGCGCAGCGACCCAGACCCGTGCCCAGGTCGTCGCCGACGCGATATACAACCGCCGCAGGGACGTTTCAGATCAGGTAGACGCGCTGCCCTCCGACAGCCTGACCGTCGAGGTCCACACTACGCCCACGCCCCGCAAGGCGGAGCCCAACCTGCTGGCCATCTCCCGCGAATGGGACAACCTCGAGCAGTACACTCAGACAGACGAGGCGCTGCAGGCATTCTCCTACCTATTCCTGCAGCTCGGCCCCAGCCCCGTGATGCGCGTCGGCGGGCGCAGCCAGGAGGTCCTGACGGCGGTGCCGCCGCTGTCGGCGTTTGTCGCGATGCGCACGCTGCGGGACGCGGTGGGCATGCGGTACATCATCGGGCTCCCCCTGGAACAGCGAAACGTCAAGCTGGCCAGGGACATCATGGCCACCGCCCAGAGCTACCTCGGAAACTCCATCATCGCCTTCGAGCTCGGCAACGAGCCGGGTGGGTGCCCCGACGCGCCGCCAGCGGGGCAGGGGGCATGCGTGTGGCACGCTCGGGGGGGGGGGGGGGGGGTGCATGTGCGCGATCGGCCAGCAGGTTGGGCAGGCTCGACGCTTTGGGAGCATGTGGAGTGCGGCGGTTGCAGCCGCAGTTGCAGTGGTGAACAAACCCAGCGTGCGAGCCGCGCGGCTGAACAATGTGCGCGTGCGCCTCCAATCTCGCCCCTTCATCCTGCAGCCATATGGGACAACAACGTGGGGGGCTGGGACGCCAGCGGCAAGTACGGCAAGGGCCTCGGATTGTGAGTCACCAGCCGTTCACGGCCACGCCGCAGCTTGCCGCACGCCACTGAGGGGGGCCGGCTGTCGCCGCAGCACGCGCACCCCTGGACAGGGTCGCGCCGCATCTCGCCAATCTGCCGGCCGCAGCAGCGGTCGCCTCCCGTGGCCACCCGTCTCACTGCTCCCGGCCCCTGCCCCTGCCCCTGTGCCCCTGCGCAGCTACATGTCTCACTTCCACCGGACGGCCAGGAAGCTCATCCCGGGCTGCGACGCGCGGGCCGCACCTCTGAGCGCGGCGGACCCCACCTCTTGGTGGCTCACGGCAGACAATGAGATCATCCCAGATCGGGTGCCTGGGGGCCCGGGGAATCCAAACGGCACCCTGGGGCCCCAGCCCACAGTTCCCAGCCCCACCGCCCCCAGCAGCGGCGGCGCCGCCGGAAGAAATGCTGGCAACGCCAGCAACGCGATCAACGCAGCGGTGAAAGCGGCCAGAGCCGCCGCCAACGCGGCGGCTGTCGACTTTGCGGGGGACAAGGTCGCCTTCAACGCCCAGGGCCGGCTGGTGGCGGTGCCCGCAAACGCCCGCGTCGCGGTCAACGCGGCAGGTGCGGGGGCTGTACCTCCGAAATGGACAATGACGAAGGCGCGACGGGCAGCCACAGCACTGCACTGGGGATCTGGCAGATGACGATGCAGCGCTGCTTTGTCAAGCCACAAGGCGTCTGTTTTGCGAGACGCCCGTGCATGCAGAGTCCAGGCCGCCAACTATGCAAGTTGGTTGCGTTACCTGTGGTCGCACCCACAACCGGTTGGCTGCTGTGCGCAGGCGCCGGCAGGAAGCTGCTGGCCAGGGATGCTGCGGCGACCGCGTCAGCCAGCGACGCCGCGGCGCAGGGCGGCGCCCGCGCGGCGGCGCCCAACAAGCCGTACATCATGGGGCCGAGCTGGCACAGCCTGGGGCTGCCGCCGCTGATGCTGAAGTCGATGGGGCAGGCAGGCCAGTGCTACATGAAAGAGGTGGGCGGGGCCTCGGTGGCGGGCGGCAATGGACTTCAATTCGAAATGTCGATTCGGCAATCCTCTAATCTCCCCGACAAGGGCGTGCGTTGACTGCGCATGACGCACGGCGCGGGTGCCCCAAGAAACCGCCAGCCGGCAGGCACATGGGCATGGGCATGGGCAGTGTCTCGCTCTCAGGTCTGCGGCGCTGGGACGCGGACGCGCCTCCCATGCTGATGTCATTGTTATCGGTGGGCACCGACACCGGCCCGGATCCCGCAGGTGACCGTCCACTTTTACTCCCACCTGGGGGTGGGTGACGCTTCTGTTGACCAAATATTGGACGAGAACAAGCTCAGGGGCGCTGCGCAGAGGTTCAAGCAGCTCAAGGTGGGGGTTCATTTCTGCGGGATGATTGGGGCATTGTGATGGTGGCGGCATCATGGGGTGGGGCGCAGAGCAAGGGTGATTGGGCACCAATCAAGCATGCTGTGTGTGTGCGTGTGAGGGAGAGTGTGTGTGTGTGTGTGTGTGTCTCTGCTGCACGGTGGGTATCGGGTCTGCCAATGCTGATAACGCGCCCAGGCATCCGTTGTGCATGGTGAAGCTCGTGAGTGAGGCTGTACTGTCCCGTTCGCCCAGCCGTGCATGCACCGCGTTCTGCCGATTCTCTTGATTCCTCACCACTAGGGCGGCACCCGCTGCCGTCATCACCCTCTCCACAGGACGCCGCCGCGCAGGGCGGGGTGGCGCTGCGCGTGTCGGAGACCAATAGCGCTGTCAACGGCGGCGCCGCGGGCGTGTCCGAGGTGCTGGGGGCGGCGCTGTGGACCGCGGACACCACCTTTGAGTTCGCCAGGGCGGGCGCCACGGGCGTGCACATGCACTGGGGCGTCGGCGGCACGACCCAAGGCGGCGGGCCCGCGTACACGGGCGTCCAGACCAACTTCAAGGGCGGAAACCCCAACCGCCCATACCCGTCGGTGCACGCTCCCTGGTGAGCCCCTGCCCCAGCCCAGCCTGCGCGGCCCCGGGGCCCAGCCCCGTGAACAGCTTTGAGCAGCAGCCGCCTGCCGCGCGGCCCCTCTGCAAAAAGGTGGAGCATGTCCGGCCCTGCAGTGACCCTGCCCCATGCTGAATTTGCTGCTGCTTTACTGAAAGCACTAACCTCGTTTTGCGCGACGCAGGTATGGCTACCTCCTGTACCTGACGGCGACCCGCGGCGATGATGTGTACTTCACCAACAACTTCCGCCAGGAGACCCCTGGTGCCTGCAGCCGCGCCGTCAAGGTGTGTGTGGTGTTCTTGCGTTGGTGTGTGTGATGCAGGTGCGCTTGCCCGCAAGCGGCTGCTGTCGTCCCCTGCTTTTGGCAAGGCCTGCACACCCCAGCCCAAACCCCAAACCTGCCGGCCTTGGCCCTCTCTCGCCGCCACGTGACACCGTCCCTGCTGCACCCTTGAACCCGGAAACCCGCACCTTCCCAGGTGTGGTCCCTTGTGGGCTACGACCCGGGGCAAGGCATGGGCATGGGCTCCCAGCCTCCTGGCCGCAGCATCCGCATCGCCCTCCTCAACAAGAACAGCGACCGCGGCTGCACCGTCGAGCTGCGCGTGCGCGGCGCCAACCCGGGTGCCAAAGCGCAGCTCAGGTGGCTGAAGAGCCTCGGGGGCATCGCCTCCACCTACGGCATGACGTGGGCCGGCCAGACGTTCGGAGGGTCGGACTTTGGGCTGCCCTTAAACTACCCCGACGTGCCAGAGATTACCCCGACTGGGTCCTCGGACGGCGTCGTCTCATACTCAGTGAACGTCGGGGCCGGCAGGGCGGTGCTCTTCACGTCCATCCTCAGCCCATCATGAAGCCGGAGGCGCGAGCCGCGCGCAGGCGCGCCGGCGCTGCCTGTGCCTGTAGGGGCGGTCCGTCCACGCCGCGGTGCGGGCGGTTTGACGCAGCTGCAGGCGCGGTGCTGCTGTTGCTGCGCCGCCGCCGCTCGGGCGGCTGCCGACAGGAAGCGTTTTCCCCTTGACCAGCACCGGTCTTGTGCAGCAAGCAAGGTTCTCAAAACCACGCTCGACTCTGTTGCTGCAGATGATCCACCATGTTTCTTTCTGGCAGGCAGCAGCCGGCCCAAACCACCGCGCATGCAATGTCTGGCCTAACGCAATCCCATTCCGGCGCTCCTGGTTGGGCCAGGCCTTGTTGTGCAGCTCGCTCTGCCGGGCTGCTTGGGCGGCTTTGTTAGGACCCTCCTTAGCCGGGCCGCGCCGCCCTCTGTCCCCTTGTTTATTGCTTATCCTTGTCATCACGACACCATTAATGAAACGATGCCGTGAGTTGCCCAACAGACCAACTGTCGTTGCGCCTCTTGTTCCCTGATGCTTGGCATATTTCAGGAGCGGGACCCTGCACTGAGCGCGCAGCGCCCCTCCGCCCGTCGCTGCGCTCGCACTGCCTGAGCGCGCGACAAAGTAGTATAGCCGTCCGCTCATGGCTGTGCACGTGTTGGCTTCAACCCTGTCCCACAGGGCAGCCGCCGACACCATTCAGGCCCGTCCCACTTGGGAGCCGTGACGGCGCGTGTTTTGTCCATGCGCCATTGCAGATTAGCGCGTTGATTATCAGGCCCGTGCATCGCCATTAACGGTGCTCGGAGCCAGGAAGGGGCTGACATTTCTCTCTTGGGTTGTTGGGCGACCCGCCAAAGGCTTACCCCCCGGGTTGCCGAAAGGGTGCAGAGCTGTTGGAAGCAATATCTCTACACCCGCACCTGTCCATTGTTCGGCTGCCGGTCGCAGCCTTTTGCGTAGCGATATATCTATTTGCATTTGTAGTTGTCTGTTCCAGGCCAGCTCGCAGCTGTTGGCCGCCTCTGGCCCAACGGCTGTTGACAACCCATCAGGTGCTTCTGCTGGTGTCTTTTCCTGCTTCGGCAGCCCTACTGAACCACGCTCAATCACTGCTGCTTGATTAAACATTTGACACAAGTCGCGCCTGGGCTGGCGTGCAACCTACACACATCTGACTTGGTGGCTGGGTGTGGCCGGACCACACTCGGCTGCAATCCATTGCTGCCCCTGCTGTGTGCCGCGTCTGGGGCGGAGGGGGCCACTGGTGTGCTTTTTACCTCATTCATAAACACGATTGCACACCTGTAGGCACCCAGCAGTGACCTGCTGCATTGCACAGCTGTGTCTGACGATCGGCTTTGCTGGTGTGTGCACGCTTCGAGGATGCAGCTGCAGCTGCAGACGGCTGCAGTAACTCTACTCTTTGAGTCAAGTATGTGAGAAATCACAGGGCAGTACTGTATTTACTCCAATGGACGCCATTCATGTTGTATGTACAAAACCGTGGGCGTGTATGTACGAACCCGTGCGCGGTGAGTGTCAGAGACAAGTGCGGGGTAAAAAGGATGCGAGGTGCCGAGGGTGGCTGGGGGTACACAGGGCACTTAGAAGGGCAGCTGAGGGGTCAGCTATGGTCGTATGTGCATTTGGATTCAGAGTCGGCAGCAGACGGCCTGCTGATGAATCGTTTGATCATCGTTTTGCAGTTCTGTTGAGCAGGGGAAAATGGTCGGGGGACAAAAAAGGAAGACAACGTAGGCACTTGGCTGCCGGCAAGGCCTTGCCCACGCTTGCAAGGGATATGGGGGCTCAATACACAGGCCTTGCCTAGACGCTAAAGAGGATGAGTACAGGCAGTTCATTGGGTGTGCTGGTCAAACTTGACACTGCGGCGGTCAAAGCTGATGCGTTGGCCTTGAACGGCTGGTGGAGCGGGTGGGGTGGGACATCCCGCCCGCAGGTCAGGGGTGATTAGCTACAGCTTTGTGGATGTGACGTATGTATGTAGCATGTGTACATGTGAAAATTGAGTGTGTTATGTCGATGCAAAGGATCGCGAATACAATGCAGTTGGATGTCGTGTGTGGTGGTGTGCCACCTCCTGGAACGTTTTGATTGTGCCTGCACTGCTCCAGAAAAGGTCGAGTCACGCGCGCGTGGGTGTTCCTGGCCTGACCTAAGTGCAAGATCTGCCAGTCCAACGCCGCAGCGGCCAGCCCCGCGCCGCCACCCCAAGAGTCGCCTCACATCTCCATTGGGACAGGCGGCAGCGTCTGCACGGCCTGCGGGCCCGCCGCCACAGCCGCCGCGGCGCCGGCCGCCGCCCGAGACAGCTGGTTCAGCGCCGTGATCTTCGCCGCGCCGCCCAGGCACGGCGAGCTGGCGGCCGACACATGCACGCCGCCGCCCACGCCGGCCGCACAGCCGTCGTCAGCCAGCAGGCCCTCCAGGCGCTGCAGCGACCCGGCCGCTTCGCAGGCCACGCCCTTGAGCGCGGCGGCCTCCAGCTGCGGGCCCGCGGCCGCGCCGGCGGTGATGTGGGGGGCCGCCTCCGCCGCGGCAGCGAGCTGTGATGGGGCCGGCAGCACCCGCATGGAGCGGCGTGCGCGCAGCATCTCGATCCAGGGGTGGTGCACCAGGTCTAAGCAGGTGGGACGCGTCGTGGGGTCCTTGCTCAGCGCTGCGAGGACGTGGGGTGCGGGGCGAGGGTTGGGCTGGAGCTGGGAACATGCGGCCAGCACAAGATTCGACCAGTGCGCTCCGCTCGGCCTGAGAGTGCTTGGAAGCGCTGACATCACACCAGATGATTTAGAAGCCATCGGCTCGACGTGTGTGCATAGCGGTCCACACAGCCTCTGCTTGCGCGTGAACGTACGCCAAGCCCTGCGCGTTGCCTCCAGCTGGCTGCACCCTACGCCGCGCGGACACGATTGACTCCAGCCAAGCTCTACTCCCACTCCCCGTCCCTCTGGGCGGCTGCAGCCGCCGACGCAAACTCCCTTGTTCATTCACGCCGTGGCGCATGGGCGGCCGCTCACCCTCGCAGACAAAGTTGCGGGCCCCCTCCGTCAGCGTTGCTGGCAGCGCGGGGACGCTGCTCTTGATGCGCGCCTCGGTGTTGGTGCGGCTCTGGTCGTAAAAAGGGGGGCAGCCCACCAGCAGCTCGAAGGTCAGCACGCCGACGGCCCAGCTGTCCACAGTGTTGCCTGTGGGCCCCCAGGGACGGAGGGGGGGAGGGGCAGGGCGGTGGCTGTGAGCTTAGGGCGCTCTCGAGCCGGGGCCTCGACGGGCGGGTGCTCCCGCAGCGGCGCGGCTGGCGCGACCGGCTTCGCAGGGGCAAATCGCGCCGTCAGTGGCAGGAGGGCTCGCGTCCCGCGGCTGCTGCTACGGCTTCTGCCACGCCTGCTGCCCCTGCTCCTAGTGCCGCCTCCAGCCCGTCCGCCGCTGCGGCTGCTGCCGCTGCTGTCGTTTCAGGGGCGGTTTCACAGACAGGACACCCCACCGTAGTGCAGGTGCTCCTTCTCCTTGTTCTCCTCAGGCTTGCTCTTGTAGGGGCAGCGCAGAATCTCTGGGGCCATGTAATCTGCGAGCAGCGCGGCGGCCGGGGCAATCCCGCATGGAGGTGGGTGCATTGAGCATAGGTTGGGTTAATAGAAGCGGTATAGCGGCTGGAGCTTTGAAACAGACTGATGTTTGAAAGGCTGGTGCTGGGTCGGGCTCAAAACAGGTTTTGACGCGACCCGGCAGGAGGCGGGCCACGCGGTGATGGTGAGGCGAGCCCGGCGGTGGCTGGGCAGCGTCACCACTGCTGCCGCGCTGGCAGGCGGCGGGCCACTCACCCAGGGTGCCGGCGCGTGTGACCGCGCGCTCCTCCCGCAGGTCTATGGCCAGGCCAAAGTCAGCCAGCTTGAGGCACATGCTGCCCTTGGTGAACAGGATGTTCTCTGCGACGGGCGACATGGCGGCAAGTTGCGCGCCACGGCAAGTGACATCGGGTCGGTGAGGGGCAAGGCGAAACTCTAATGTGCGGTGTACAGCTGGTTGCATTGATTTGGCCAAGCGAGTGCTTTCTTGCACGACGAGGGATGTGTAGGCGGCGCTGGATGTCTGTAGGTGGTGAGTGCTGCAGTGGCTGGGTGCGGTGCAGCAGGCGGTCCCGATGCGTACCGGGCTTGATGTCGCGGTGCACGATGGAGCGGGTGTGCAGGTACTGCGGGGCAGGCGCAAGGCAAAAGGGGTCCCAGAGCCGTTCGTCAGGCGTAAGGGCAGCGCCAGCCAGCGTGACCGCAGTCCGCCTTCATGTGGCAGTGGCCGCGAATGGGGTCGTCGCTTACGTGCAGTACAACACACCGCAGCCGTCATACTCGCTGCCCCGAAGGGACCCGGCGCAAGTTGAGCACGCACGCGGGTTTGCGCGCCCCCACCTGCAGCACGCGCAGGAAGGGGTCGAGCACCATCTGCACCGCCACTTTCTCCCCCAGGCGGCCGCCATACTTCTGCAGCAGCGTGAACAGGTCGCCGCCGTCCGCATACTCCTGGACCATCACCACGCGGTCACCCTCCTGTCAAAGTATTGAATTTTTGTTGGACCCATGGGTTGAGTATTGTCTGTGAGGTCGGTTTTTGTTGGCCTGATGGCTCCTGCCAGGCAGTGGCATGGCTGCTTGCGGCAGCTGGTTCCAAGACCAGACACTGCGGCAAGGGCGAAGCGCGAACCCACACGGCGCATCACTGAGCCGTCCTCAACCACCAGCACCACGCGTCGCCGGATTGCCGGTCGGCCCCCCCATGGTGTCGTCACCCAGATGCACGCGTCCGAGGGACGCGCCACCCACCTTGAACGCGGCGAACAGCTTCACGATATTCTCGTGGTGCAGGCTGCTGTGCAGGCGCACCTCCCTGTAGATCTGGTGCTGGTACAGCTCGCAGATGGCGCTGAGCGTGTAGCTCTTCAGCACCACGGTCTCCTTGCTGCGCTTGCAGATGCCCTTGTACACTGGGGATGGGGTTTTACATAGGGGGTTTGCATGAGGAGCAGCGCATGCAGCAGGGAGGCGGGCGCGACTTTGTGTTGTGATTGAGGGTTTGAGAAGACCACATGACTTTTTGTCAAACCTTTCCAGGATCGCCACCTGCAATCCTGCACATACCCACCTACATGCCTGCCTCCAGTAACAACCTCCTTGTTGCTCAACACCCTCCCTGAAGTGCCGGTGGTCAACCGTCCAAACCCTATTGAGATATACACTCCCCCTCAGCATTCGCCCCGTCACCCCGTCGCCGCTCACCGACTGAGGCGTAACCCGTGTACAGCTTGTCCATCACGATGTAGTCATCCAGACACCACTCGGCGCGCTGCATCGACGGGGGCAGCTGGGGGTGCAGTGCCAGCAGCTGGCTCTTGCGGCCGGGGCTGGCCGGGGGAGGGAGGTAGCTGCCCTGTGCCTGGTGCTGGGGGCTGCTGTCCTGCGCAGCAGAGTCTGGACAGGCGGGAGCAGCACCGGCAGTGGCAATCGGAAGGGATTCAGAGCGTTGCTGTGGGCAGACTGACCGCCACAGGCATTCATAAATCTTGTTGCTGCGGGTAGATCTGGCTAGAGAGCGGTTCCAGGCGGTGCAGCCCCCTTTTCACAGCCAACCCCGCCCAATTAGCGCCCAAAGACGCCCAACAGGCGCCCCCTAACACTTGCTCACCCAGCCTTGGGCCCTCGTCCCCGCTCACCCGTGGAGCCGTTGCTGGTCTTGGGGATGATGGCGCGGAACGCGGCTATGAGCCCGTTGCCTGCCGGGCTGCTGGCCTGCGCCGGCTGGCTGCTGCCGTCAGCGGACCAGGCGGAGCCGGCGCCGGCGCCGAAGATCTTGCCAATTGTCTTCTTAGCCGCCGACAGCGTGCTGAAGCCGCCTGCGGGCTCCGCCTGCTGCGGCGGGTGCTGGCCGGGCTGCGCCGCGGCCGGGCCCGCGGCCGGCTGGTTGGCCGCCATCCGCGCGGGCGCGGGCGCTGACGTGGCGGAGCTGCCCTCCGCGGCGCCGGCCGAGGGGCAGGACCCGAGGCTGCCTTCGTACGCGGCGCTGCTGCCGCTGCTGCTCGTGCAGCTGGCCGGCGCGCGCGTGCTGGCGCTCGCGGTCGCCGACGCGCCGCCTGCCCTGCAGCCGGCTTCGGCGGCGTGGCACGCGCCGGTGCGGGGGCTGTTGGAGGCGGCCGGGGCAGGGGCAAAAGGGGTGATGTTCACGCTGAGTCCTCTGGGTTGGGTCTGGCTGGGCTCGCCGTGCACAGGGGTTGTGGGCGCCGCGGCGGCGGGG